GTGGCTGCTAGTGATTTAGGTGGATGGTTGCTAATGATTGGGAGAGAGGAAGGCATAAGAGAAATAGAAATGAGGTGGCACTGTGGCAGCAATAAAACACAGAGCTACACATAAAATATAAGATTTAGCTCTGTGGAGCTCTGTGCTAAATATATAATTACTTAATGAAAAAATAAATAAAACTGCTGCTTACCGTTGGTGGTGTAAGTAGATGAAAATAGATGTTCTTACATCTCCTTGCTCGGTGGTCCTTGCTCTAGCAGGACCTGATAGGAAGTGATGTCAAATGCCCCAACCACTGCAGGCTTCACTCCTCCGTAAACTACCGTGGGAAGAGTAGTGTGAACAGGCACATCTCCTGTATCTTGACAGCCATTATACCACCAACAGTGGCCAGCAGACAGTATATTGTGGGCGGCAGTATGCTGGGAACTGGGAGAAATGAGGCAGCACCGCGACATTATGCCCCCTGGACAGGTGCGTCCTAAGGTGGCCCCCTGAGCCGGCTTATGCTAGCGCTGGCCCTGTGCTTGAGTGGTAGGATCCTTGCTTGTATATTTGGAATATACCTCTTGGCCAAAAATAATTTTTTCTTGGGATATGCAGGAGAATGGAACATAAAATTGGAAAAGACCAATATAGGCCAGTATAGTATAGTATATTCAGCAATAGAATAGTGGATAAGTGAATAAATGAATATACACTACCATTTTTGGAGCCCTGAAGTGTCTCCTGTAACAGAGCATAGGATGATAAAATCCACACCATGGGATGTGTAGGAGGTTCAGATCTTCTCCTTGTGGGTATGTAACGGAAAACAAAATGATATAGTGCGCACCATTAAATGAATAATTTCAAATAAATGGAAGATTACTTACAATGTACAAAGCAAATATTGGTTTACTCAATCCTTAGTGGGTGGCATATTCCCTACTAATGAAATAAAATCTGGAAGGCAATGATCAGCACAAAAGTCCAAGATGAAATAAAAATGAATCCTTTACTGCTAATGTAAAACTAACAGTAAAATAATAAAAGTATTCTCACAATACACTTAAACGCATCTTATCAACAAAATGGGCTTCATCAAAGTGTAACCGAGACCTGGAAACCTTCTCTTTATATAGCAAACACAGAAATGTAAAACCTGTGGTCAAATGACATTATTGTCATATGACCACAAAATAATTAACATAAATACATAGCATATAACAATCTAAAGGATGACGCACAAAAAGATTAATGATATGAGGTGTATAAGCTTTTAAAAGGTATGACACAAAAGCTAGATATTAATATATGACATGAATAAAGGCATGGCTTCTCCACAATGGCGCAATCAAGCAAGTCACGCGACTCGCAATATTATGGGTGATAGTTTAAAGACAGTGGTAAGAATAAAGGTAAGGATGCCTAAGTATAGAGGAGCTTATTGCCCTGATTTAAAGCTAAAATGTGGTTTAGGGACCAAAATACAAAATGAAGAAAGAGAGCTTCTCCAATGTGGTGCCCGAGTCACATGACTGGCAACATCAAGCAAATATAAACAAAGATTTAAAAAAAAAAAAGAAGAAAAGTTCAGGGGGGAAGAGGAGGAGGGGGGCTTGGTGGATTCTTATAAAAGTAGTAAAATATGAGGGCTAGTAAGTAAAATAAAAACTTTAAAGGTAGTAAACATACAGAAAAAAGCTACTACTTACTAAAAAGAGGTGGAGTTAATGGTTAAAGGAAGAATATAAAACAAAATGTAGAGAAATAAAATTAAAATAAAAAATATGTAAAAATAAATAATAGAAATACAAATAAAGAAAACATTAGACGATAAATAAAAAATAAACTTAAAAATAATCAAAATTAAAAATAAAAAATCACCTGTGAAATAAAAATACATATGGAAATAAAATAAAACATGAAAAAATAAACACAATCTAAAATTCCAAATATATTGGAAAAAAATTGAAAACAGGGGAAATATCACAATAGAAAAACATACCTTCTAATGTGAGTAAAGGAACATGCTTACATATAAAATGTTGAAGGTTTCTGAAGGAAATTGTTTAATTCAAATTCTGAGAGAGTGAGGTTTTTAGGTCAAATACACACTTTTTGATGACATAACAAGCACACAGACCATTCATCTCAATGAAGTGGTCTCATTGCTGTGCACCTTCTGTTTTGTTCCTGCAATGTAAAACATTGCTGTTTCGAAGATACAGCAAAGTTTACATGACGAGGCTAAAGAATCTTACTTGGATTGTTAACCTGCCAGCCACTAGATGGTGCCTCTGCAGTGAGAACAGACTCAAACCCTGTACTTGACAGTTGATTTCCTTACACATTGCTTAAACAATGGGGAGTGATATTAACTGAGGAGATTGGGCCAGGGGGATAACTTGGTTTAAATGCTGGAATGGGGTCAAGTTTTGGGGGCAGGATAGAAAAGGTAATTCTAGCAATTTTTTTAGTTGGATTAACGTGTGTGTGTGTGATATAGAGATAAATATACACAAATCTGTATATCAATATCTTTCTCACTGTTTGGCAGTGAAAAGTGCTGATCAAACTAAAATTTAACTTTGAAAGTAATAGAGGATAGCACACCTTGTGTGCAGCACAACTGTATAAAAACATGTTGCATCCCATAATAAAAAATGAAGATACACACTGTGTACTACTACTGGGCAGGTATCAAAAATGCTGTGGACTAAGTTAGTTTTGTTTTCTTCATATGAGAATGGCAAAATAACATGCAGAGGCATCCACTTACATGTGTCTCTATATAGACATGAATGCCTGTGCTTTTCTTTATAAAGAGAGTCTGTGTTCAATGATCCTGTGCCTCTACATATACCTCTACATATGCTACTATATGTCTCTATATGGAGGCATATACATTTAAATGGAGTGAAATGCATTTTAAATGAATTGAAATGCGTCTTAGCACCCACTGTATGAGTTTTCATTATAATAGAGCTATTTATTTTATTATTTTGTTTAGAATTGTTTTTAATTTAATTTTATTTAGTTAATAAACCTTTAAACTTGCCCTGCACTGTTTATGGTCCTATATGGTTACAAGTTTCAGAAGTGATCTACCTTGGGCTTTTGCCAGCCTCTAATTGGCAACAGGCATTCAACCCTAGAGCCAAGATGTGGGCTCTACGAAAAGGTGAGCAGTTAAGCTTAAGTAGTATTTTATTCAACCAGACAATATATATACTACACTATTGAAGATTATTCCTTATACGTTCATGACTGGAATCTGTTTGATGAAAGGTGGTATGCTGCCTTAAAGGCATAGAAGGGTTGTTTACTGGACCAGTGTTTTCAGGCTCAGATCCTTGTGGACTATATTTTCCTTTACTTTAATTCTATATACATCTACACTTTATGTATGTTCTTTTTCTTTTACATATATCTGGCATATATCCCTATTTTACCATTGTAATAAGGGTAAGCAAACTGCACTTGCATGGCTTTTTAGTGTTCCCCTTTATACTACTTATATGACAATTATATTTTATTTGAGTGTGGGTATAAGGGTATTCCTAGTCCCAGAAGCAGTCCTAAAGGTGATTTAATTTCCAGGATGGGTTTGTCTCTGCTGTGAAAGAACTCTACAGTATGCTCATGGCAAAAATGTCTTAGTCATTTTTTTAATTCTGTATTTTATTGTGCAGGGAGTTAAAAATTAGACTGCCTTGTTACGACAACAGAGCAGGTCAACATAGTCAAAATATTTCAGCAATATTATCGTGTGATAGACAAAAACACATTTTTGTATAAATAAGTATAATTCACATTTAAGCGTTAGGTTACATAGTTACATAGCTGAAAAGAGACTTGCGTCCATCAAGTTCAGCCTTCCTCACATTTGTTTTTTGCTGTTGATCCAAAAGAAGGCAAAAAAACCCCAGTTTGAAGCACAATCTTGCAACAAGCTAGGAAAAAAATTCCTTCTTGACCCCAGAATGGCAGTCAGATTTATCCTTGGATCAAGGTTGTTATAAGAGCCCTGCGTGGTAGTCATAACAGCTAACAAATAGAGATTGTGCAGGGAATGAATGCTTGTGTCATTCGTGCTAGCAATAAGATAGTAAGATATCTAGATTGATTCTGGAGGATGCTGTCGGTGGCTAGGTGTTGGATGCACCTGCTTCGACGTAGGTTGATCTATGGTGAAGTGCTGGTGCATCTACCTAATATATGCTGAACTTTTTAAAACATTAAACATGTTTGGTTTGCCGAGGAGAGTATATGTGTCTTAAAATCCTTGGGACTGTCTGGTTAGCCCCAGGCATTATGTGGGTAAATGTACTCTACTTTCATGTTCTCCTGATTGTGCGGGAGGAGTATGAGGGGTTGTGGTCTGCTTGGTCTGTCGGTTATGTTTAGTGTGGGATGTCCATGTGGGGGCTTCCCTTTGTGTCAAACTGGGTGTGTAGAGAAGAGACAAACGGGAGGGGAAACTTAAAATAGGCAAAATAAAATTCTATAGCTCATTCAAGTTTGAGACAGTCCTGTCGGTTTGTACAGCTCTATGAAGCTGCGTGGTGTGAGAGTCTTTAGTCCAATTTTCCATGTCTGGTGTTGGCTGCTGCGCTTCTCTTAGGTAAAAGGAGGCAGGGGTGGAAAGGGTAGGTTAAGTCAATAACAAAGTTTACTTATCGAGTTTAGGAGAGTAGGTAGTCTGTGGTGATGGTAACGGGCCGGTGAGAAAAAGGTTGGGAAGGGCTGGGTTTCTCTGCCAGCTGTCTGAGTTATCTCAGGTGATGGAAGGGTAGTAGCTGGGTTCCAGGCGTGGGTGGTAGCGCTCGATCCTCCATTAGCCATTGAGTCCCCTGAGATTCCCAACACCGGCAGTAGTCCCCTTGCCCCTGTATGTCATGTACTGGATGTGCAGCATCGCCATATTGTACCTGCAGTGTGCGTGGTGCTCTCCATCTATACGGGATGTTGTTTGCCGTCAGGAGGGTCGTAAAGGGCTGTAGAGAGCGGCGCTATGTAAGTGTGTTCCTCAATAGATCTGTGAAGAAGGACAGCGCCATGCTCTCGAAGGAGTATGAAGAGTGGTTGCGCACTGCGTTGAGGACTTCGATTTTATCTTTGCTCCTCTGGAACAGGATGATCAGGTCTCGTGGTGCACCCGCCTGGGCCTTAACCGGTTTGGGTATGCGGAACAACCCTTTGATCTCCACCGCTTTCGCTTGTTTGGGTGGTAGAAGCGCGTGGAGCAGTCTGCGTGCCAGGATGGGTAGCTCTGCTCCTGCAGTATTTTCGGTGATCCCCCGGACTTTAAGGTTTAGGCTTCTCCTATGATCCTCAGCCGCCGAGAGTCTCTGCTCCATTTTCACCTCTTGTTGGGTCAGCTCACCCACTGTTTGTTGCAGCTGTGCTATGTGTTTCGCATTTAGGCTGGTATTTTGTTCCAATGTGGCCATACGGCCTGTCAGGCCTCTCAGGTCTTGCCGGATTTGGGCCACATCGGCCTGTAGCGTGTGTTGTAGGCCTGCAAGCAGATCTTTCAGGATCGCCGTTGTGACTGGGGCCGTGTCTGGTGGTGCAGGTGGCGGTTTGGGGGCCTGTAGTGGTAGCACTTGTTCCTCCACTGCCTCGTCCAATAATTCTTCCGATATGTCGGAGGCGAAGTCCGCATAAGCGGCCATTTTGACTTCCTCTGCCCTTTGGGCCTGACGCCAGAGGTCCCCTATATTTTTGCTCATGCTGGGTTTGTCTGCCTTAGATTTCTTGGTCTTGCGACCCATTGTGTCTTCGTCTTGCTGATGTTTCGTTTTGGGTTTGTATTTGAGGGTTTTTGGCCTGTTTATCTCCTTTTTTGTGGCTTGTTGGTGCTGAGCTATTCCGACATGCGGCCAGTCAGTTCAACGGCTTGGCTCTGCACCAAGATGAGTATTTTTACAGACAACATCCTCCTCATGATAACAAACCCACTGATTTCCCTGCCGGGCTTAACCACAACCCTAAAAGAGTACAGAAAATAAACCTAACAAGACCAGAATGCAGGCCATGCCAATACATTTGCAAAAAGAGACAATTAAGTCCTTAAACAAGACTTCCCATTTGAATTCCTTATATACTTGGGAGTTAGAATCCTGAAAAATCTTAACAGCCTTTTTAAAGCAAATTATGTCAAACTGACCAAGGAGCTTCGCTCCAACATTACTAGGTAGAGGGGTACATTTTTATCTTGGATGGGCCGCATTGCTGCGACTAAAATTATGTTGTTCCTGAAATTGCAATTCCTGTTTCATTCTCTATCCATAGCAATTCCCCCCTTATACTTGTCTTCCCAGCAATGCAATGTCTTCCCAGGTAAATGCAAAACAAACATCACTAAAAGTTCTGCATTGTGGAAGGTCACAGATGTTGGGATGGGAAGCTGTACTATCATGCCACACTGATAGCACAAGCAATACGCACCCATGACAAAACTAAACCCCCCAATGGGTCCATATTGAATCATATTCCGGCATTAAGAATGCACAAGCAACTTGTACTCTTAATGGAAGTGAATTAGAGAAAACCATACACATGAAGGGCTTGAGAATTTTTATAGACAACAAACTATGCAACAATGTGCAATGTCAATAAGCAGTGGCTAAGGCAAGTAAGGTATTGTCATGCATGAAAAAGGGCATTAATTCTCGAGATGAGAATATAATTTTGCCTCCTTATAAATCGCTGGTAAGACCACATCTTGAATATGCTGTGCAATATTGGGCACCTGTTCTAAAGAAGGATATTATGGCACTAGAAAAAGGCTACAAAATAGGAATAAAACATTTTAGCTATGAAGAAAGGTAAACAAATGTAAACCTCTTTAGTTTAGAAAAATGTCACCTCAGAGGGAATATGATAACATTATACAAATATATTCATGGCCAATACAAACCTTTGTGTGGAAAGCTATCCACAAACATGACTTTACAGAGGATACAAGGTCATGCATTTAGACTGGAATAAAGAAGATTTAGTCTAAGGCAAAGGAAAGGGTTTTTTACCATAAGAACGATAAAGATATGGAATTCTCTGCCTGAAGAAGTGGTTTTATCAGAGTCCATACAGATTTTTTAACAGCAACTAGATGCATACTTGCAAAAACTGAATATTCAAAGATATCATTTTCAATGTAGGGTAAATGCTTCTTGATCCAAGGATTAATCTGACTGCCATTCTGGGGTCAAGAAGGATTTTTTTTACTAGTCTGTTGCAAAATTGGAAGCGCTTCCAACTGGGGTTTTTTTTTTTTTTGCCTTCTTTTGGATCAACAGCAAAAAACAAATATGAGGAAGGCTGAACTTGATGTAACTATATTGGATGGTAGAGGAAGGGATACATTCAATACTCTGGTTGACGAAGGCCACTAGACCACACACACCACACATGCTATCCACCAAAGTAGCTGTGCTTAACTCATGGGACAAACATAAGTATAAGTTCTATAAGTTCCCCATAAACAGCTTTAAGGATCTGATGGGAGGGCATGGGACTACTGTGCCTACATCAGATATGGACAGTGGATCATCTTACATAATTTCCGCAGATGAAGTCTGACCATAATATTTTTTTTTACATTCTACTGAATGATTCTTATGTGTTTTGTTCTTGTTTTATTTATATTTCTAGCTGCTATTAAACATCTTGACATTTTCAGATTTTGCAGGAGTTTTGTGTTTTTCTGCCTGTAGTGTATTGCCATGCTAGACTTTTCTTAGGTCCTGTTTGCTATTTTTTTTAGGGCTCTCTTATATTGAACTGCAGTTTCCTTTATTTCTCCATTATTGCCAGTCCAAAAACTATGGCCTATATTTCATTACAGCTGATCACATTTGTTGGCAGTTAATTGGCTCTTTATAAGGCATTTGACAGTTAGGAATGATTAAATTACAACCATGGAAGTATTATGTGTTGACAAACCTATCAGTTTGAATATCTAATCTGATACCAATATTTTGCATTGGAAATATTGAATTTGGTGATTCAGCTCCATTTCTCAGGGACCCAATTCCAGATTAATGGAGTCAATGAATATGACACCTAAACGTAATTGATAAATGCTTTTTGACTATCTGCTTACTGTCAGCACTGGCAGCCAGCAGACAATTAGTTAAAAACCACATAATTCAATATGACCTTACTTAGTAAAAGTAAGGTTTCAAATGTACCTTATGCCTGGGTAGTGCACATTTATTGGCATTAAAAAAAAACAATGAATAATTATGGGCTTCTTATTGCTGGTAAGTCAAGACCTATGTCTTTTAAAAGTGTGTGAGTGTGGGGGATTTATAAAAGTAAAATAGGTGATATTTAAAAAAAAAAAAAAGGTTTTCAAGTCAATTCCAACTCTTTAGAGAATTGGCCCTTTTGTGAATTTATTGCAACTGGAGTCAAGTATAGTCATCTTGCACTTGTCAAATAGGTGTGGGCATTAAAACTGAACAGATATGTCCTACATCTACTGTACAGACACATCTTTTGTAATGCTATTGAAGTCATAATGCTTGCAAAGCATTAGGGGAGATGTAGCCACAACATATGCATTGCCAAAGGTTGTAGAAAACAGATGTTCACAAATGTATAGTTACATCCTTTTCCATAAGCTACTTCAAAATTAGATAAGTGGTATTCCCAACTCATTATCAAGGGAACACAGTACAAAAAAATAATAATAATAATAATAATAATAATATATATATATATATATATATATATATATATATATATATATATACACATAAAATTCTTATTCATCATAAACTATTATAAAACTAAGTTTAAAAGATTAAGGTTGAAATGTGAAGCAAAATTTTATTTTTTATAACTTTTATTTCATCGATGAATTTCTTGTTGCATGCTGCTTAATAGCTATGATAAGCAGGATGTTGCAGAGTAATAGATCCTTGATAATCATTTCTTTTTGTACAATCCTGCTCCTTTCTATTGTTCACGAGAGGCTTCATCTAGATCTTTAACTACCAACTGGTCATAACTCCTCGCCTTGAACAGTAATGAATTGAGCCAAGCCACTCCTTGCAAAATGCAACATAACTTGCCAACCCCTCTTTGGCAGCATATAAAAGCTTGAATTGTGGACAGGTTAATCTGTTCATTGTGGGATCCATTGCTGCTTCATCCGTGATAGCAATGGGATACTTTATAGGGATCCCATTATGGCTCTTCATTATAAGCAATAGTAAGTGGCTAAAATAATATGGTTTTGTCCTTACATTTGACTTTGTTGCTTTTCATGTTAAATGGTGTATGTAGTATGTGGTATATTTGCTATTCTTTGTCTTCATTTTAAAATATAATGCTAATGGCTAGTTCTATATATCTTATTTTCACTGTTCTTTTATTATCTTACATATTAAAATCTAGTGAGTTTTATCTATTACTAGAGAATTACTTTGCTAAATTTAGTCTTGTGGATAAAAAGTCATTTGTTTTCAAGATGCAAAATAGCTTACATTGTGAAAGTTCTACATTTAACATTTTAAGTACAATTACAAGTTACATATATGACCAGATGTAGTTTGGTATACAAGGATCACAGAGTAACACTTCTGTAAAATCCCTGAAACCTTAGTGGACTATAATAAACTCTATTTACGTTTATTTGGCAGCTTGTCATTAGTAGATTTCGTTCTCCAATCAGTCTCTTTCTTTGCAACATTTAGGTATAGCAATGAAAAAAGGTATTGTAAATGTTTTAGCAGTTCCAGTAGACGTTATAGTTCATGGAATAAGTACTTGACTAAATAAAATTTACAATTATAAATGTATTGCAAATATAATATATAAAAACGACCTATTTAAATGTATTATACAAAAAAAACCTAAAAAAAAACTTATGTAGAGATAAAATAAAGTGACACGCTTATGTGTAAGAGTGGTAAATCCAAAATGTAAAGTCATTTGTTTATTCTGTCTTTACCCCTCCATTTTTTTTTTACTTTTTTTTTTATGAATACAATATTTAGACATTTATTTTCATATTTTTTGATTAGCTTTTCAAATGATTTAAAATTTGTGGATAAACTTTTTAAATATTTTTTTTCAAACTATTAAAAAAATATATCAAAACTATATCATTTATAAAAAAACACATCAGTATATCAATGTCTAAATATGAAATATAAAAGTTTATTAACATTTTTTAAATTATTTGAAAAGCTTATCAAAAAATATTAAATCAAGGTTTAACTTTGTATCCTGTTTTGTGTTGGACCCCTCATTTGGAAACCACAATTTACCCCAAGTGCATTAAGATTTCACAGTTTCACTGTTGTTTTCAGAGAAGAACTCTCCTGCCCGAAGTGCACAAGGAAAGAGTGACTTTGGTTCTTTATTATATGGTTTGTTTTTTGCAATATTGAGCAGATGGTTTTAATTTTGGAAGATTTGTGGAATCGTTTGCTTTTTTCTTTTTATTTGGAAAACGTTTTCTATTGCATCATTTCATACAACTCTCATTACAAAAAAAGGAAATCATTCTGTCTGTATGTCTGTCTGTCTATCATAAAGCAGAAATAATGAATATATATATTATAGTCCAAATTATTTAAGTCAGATAGCCCCCTGGGTCATTTGTCAGCTTATCTCACCTGCCCAATGTATACATGTATATTGATCACTGAAACAATGTTTAATAGTTTACTTTAAAGTATTATGTGATGTCCGTCAACCAATGGTATCAATGTCAAATGCTTCTGGTGCCATTTTAACTGTTATATACAAGGTGAAC